TTAAGTTCCGTACAGCAGAAAAAGGTTTCGTAGGAAAATACGAAACCTTTAGAGTTTCATATTAAACCCTAATAGTTTCGTCCTAAACTCTCATGATTTTGCACTAAACCCTCATGATTTCGTAGAGTTTAATACGAAACTCTAATGGTTTCGTATTTTCCTACGAAACCTTTTTCTGCTGTACGGAACTTAAAAAAAGGTTTCGCAGCAAAAGGTTCTTATCCTCGGTACACGGTAAGAACCTTTAAAGGTTTCGTAGATTTTTTTATCCTTTTTTTGAGACTTTGGACATCTTTGGATGCTTTTAGACATCTCCGGAACCTTTTTTGGGGGTTCGGTAAAAAACCGATTTTTTTTAGAGTGTACTTTCTAACTTTTAGAAATATTTATTTTGTGTCTTACTCAGTACAATAGTATGCATACAAGATTGCTAGGATCTGACGAAGATACAACCAATGTCTATACTAAGCGTATTTAACCATTAAATTAAACTTTGCATCGAATAATACGAAATAATGATAATCTCGATTAACAGAAGAATAATACAGCGAATAGCAACAAGAAAAAAAGCACGCATTAAAAAAAAATGTTTGAAATGTACGAATAGAAACTGTTATAAATTAATCATTTTGATCAATGTTTCTTTAGAAACTTAACATTCTGCGTCGATTGTATTAATATTATAAATATATTCAGGAAATCTGATAAATGGAGCGAAGGAAGAGGGAGTAAATCAAAATGAAATAGTTTCGTTGGGATAAACCCATGTCCTGAAAATCGCTGAAAAATTGGCGATTAATCGCGATTTATCGAAACGATAATCGTGAGCTAAATCGCGATTAAATCGCCGATTTTTAATGATATGTTAGTGATTATTACGATAAATCGCGATTTGTTTTCCGGTTTTTTACATATTAACGATATCTTTATCGCCAATCTGCTCTGATATTATCACGATTTCATAGACATTTTATTTATTTTAACTTCATCTATTTGTTAAATTTATTTTTATTTAAAAAATTTACTATTTTGATTACGCTCAAAGTAAGAGTAACAAAAACCGGAAAAAGACATCAGATGATTATCTTTTCATTTCTTTTGCAAAACTTTCATGAAGTTCCACAAAAAAAAAGAAAAAAGTGAATGTTAGAATATCTATGTATTACCATAGATAACAGATAGAGATGTAGACATGAATAATCATTGAGATACAGAAAGATAGAATTTTTCGATGTTAAGAAAACTATAGAAATTGGTTCATACATACTAGATTCAAGTAAAACAAATATAATATAAGTCGAATCTATATATGCGTATGAAGCACAATACCGAACGCCAAAAATCAAAAGTTAATTATTATTATCAAATTAGCTTCAATAATAAGAATATTCAATTTCATTATATTTTTTTCTAATTTTCATAATCATTAAAACTGTCTATCGATTACTCAGATGCTAAAATTTTCATGTAATGATGGCATCGATAGTGTTAATTGTTTTCAAAACCATTGTCAAAATTATTATTATCTAGAAGAGAAAAACGTAGAAGCGTATTTTAGAACCTACTGAGGAAAAAACTATCTGATTCAGTTAAATTTTTTCAAAATTTTACCTGAATTTTCTTTGTTAAAACTTGACACATTTGGACACCAGTATTCAAATTGTTACCAGCAAATCCGCTGTTAAACGAAATCCAAATTGAACAGAATCTATAAAAAAGAAACAAAAATAGTTGTGTTGTACAGTTAAAATAGTTTACCTCTAATGATTCTAACCTGATTATCTGTATCAATATTAGACAGATCAATATGAAGAAGTTTTTTCCTTCGTTGAATATTCGATCTACAATCTTTAATACAATTTGTATTTTCTTTATCACCTGAAATTAGCAAGAGGCGAATTTTTTCCCGCTACTAGTATTGAAAATCGAGAGAAAAAGGTTAGAAAGAAACCCAGGTCGAACGCCCACGGTCGTAAACGATCGTTTACGGAGATAAACGGGGATAAACGCAGATCGTACACGAACCCCGTTTACGATGATCGTATACGGGGGAAAACGATGTGAAACGAATTCCGTATACGGAGGTCGTAAAAAAATACGAAGTTCCAGAAGTGTACTGTACAGAGCTCCGTATACGGAGCTATACGACTATCGTTTACGATCGTATCTCACCATATACGATCGTATACGATCGTCATCTGAAATATGACCTTTCGCTTTATGTTTTCGTTGAGCATTGCTCTTATAATAATATTCTACGTGGTTACTCATGATACAAGTTTCAGTTTCCGAAATGTATGGAAAAAATTGATTGTTTTTCCAAATAATGGAAAACATACAGACAGCAATTTTTTTCTCGTGCGCCCATTTCAAATATCTTGTTTATATTACGAGAAGAACGCAAGAGATTTTCAATGAAGAGAAAGAAAGAATACATTTTACTTGTTCAATCTCCGGCAGTTTGGTGAAAGAGACATAGCGATGAAAGAAAGAAAAAAAATAAATACATATAAATATACGTTATTCTCCGTCAGTATGGTGAAAGAGATATAGCGACGAAGGAAAGAAAAAAAATATACGTATAAATAGACGTTATCTTCTTCATTTCGTTCATTATTTTATTTTATCATTTAAATATTCATATAGTAAGTACATATCATGTGATTCGTCAGATATACACACAAGTTAGTGATGTGAATGTTATATTTTCTTGTTGAGTTCAGAAAATATTCCAAAGCACTCTTAGCTATGAACACTGAAGATGTATCGACAGTAATATTTCATTACTGAATTTGTTTTTTTTTCCAAATATTTCATATTTTCTCATCTATTTCGTTTTCAGATGGTGTTATGAAAGAAATAATCTGATGGACAATAATGTATTGGCATCACTTACAGTATGTAAACAACAACATCGAAGACGTTTAATTAAAAAAAAGCATAGACGACGTCATTTATTAAGTATTCGACGAATTCTTCTAGATACAACATATCCTAATTTGTTTATTAAACCTTTACACAATAAAGATATACCAGTTGATGATAATTTAAAATTGACATCATTGCCTACCTTTATTACTGAAGAACAAAATGAACATTCATCTGATGGTATACTTGATTTGTGTGCTAATGAAGAATCATTTGATGATTTAAGTGAACGGAATGTTGATGAAGAAGTATATTACGATTTAGATGAATTAAATATTGATGAACAAGTATCTGATGTATTAGATGAATCTTTTAATTTGGCTACTTCAACTTTTCCTGAACCTGATTTAATTTTGCACGGCTCAACTAATATTATAAAGAATGAATACTGTAGAAATCTTCTTACTTTATTTCGTGATGCGAAAATTTCCAAAACACATTGTGATAGATTTATTCGTCTTATTCAGTCTGGTCTACCAATACCAAACAACATGCCAACGTCGATGAAAAATCTTTTGAAAGAAATGCAAGGTAAGATTAAATTCAAATTATTTTTACTTGCAAAAAGCTCAGAAGGAGTCATCATTTTTTATTTTTTACAATAAATGTCCACAGTCATATTTTTCTTCTACCGAAAATTGAAACGTTATAACTCAATGCTGAAAAAAAATACAAGCGAATGCACCGAACTCTTTTCCAGAAACGTTAAAGCTCTTGAAGTTAATCTACTATAAGAAAAAGAAAAAATTACGAGAAATAAGTTTTGATTCATGCATAAAACGAAGTTACTTTATGGTTTTATAAGAAAGCATGAAATACAAAAAGCTAGTAATTTGTGCAAATTTCTTCTTTATGATCTTTTCCTTAGAGAGAATTAAACAAAATAAAATATATTGAATCAATTACTTTTTACGCATTAAATCTAAAATAATTTTTTTTGAGTATGTCGTTATACATCACTATGCATCTGATGTCATTTATTTCGTTGTATTCAGAATTGAATTTATTTTAAGAAAACCGTAATTTCAATTCAAGCTTTTTAGAAATTGAACTTTACTTTGATTGATTTACTATTAGTCGCATAAAAAAATTAAGCTAAGTTCACTTTCAAGTTTAAAATTTTTTTTTTGTAAAAAAAAAATTTTCTACTGTTAGATATAGCGAATTTGAACCGATATTGTTGAGAGATGGTACGACTAGAAATGAACTATATTCTTCATGAATTTTTATACCAATAGAAGAAAAAATTTCACTAATTGAAATAGCAATATTTACTAAATATAGAATAGTTCAGTATTACAAATTTGATTT